CAGAAAACAAGAAAGATGGATGTAAACGAATTAAGTTTTGTCTTCGGCAGACGATTCTTCCATTATTCGTCCGAAATTAATATTCTGTGTTCAGCAGTATAGGCTAAATACCAAATATTTGTATGTTGCATCTATAATTTAGAAGCAGCAATTGTTGTTTATTTTTTAAAATTTAATTTTTTTAATTATAATTTTACAGTTTTGAGCATAATCTTGTATGTCTTTACAATTTAAAAACTCCTTGAAAAAGTTTTTTTTTTGCAATAACGGACCCTATTTGCACAAATTCATAAAAGCGGACCCTGGTTAAAAGAATGTGAGTAATTTTTTCACAATTTCACGAGAAACGGACCTTTCACAAAATGTCTGGACAGACCCCTGATTTCATAAATTCTCTTACTAATAGATGAATAGTGGAGAAACATTGTTTGAATAGCAAATTTATTTTATTTCTCATAGAATTTTTGAAGAGTTTGAAATAAGGATCCGAAAATACTTAAAAATGATCCAGGAATTTTGTCTTTATAACCCATAATTTTCAGAGACTAGCTGAACTTGAACTGTCCCACTTTTTTTTGAAAATATTATAAATCATTAAAAGTGTTATAATTTTTATCCCTGGAACTATGTGTTACTTAGCAAATCACTTGAATTTTGAAGAAAAAAAAAATAAAGATTAAGCAGTTTTTCTTTCATATAATAACCACAATTTCAATGGCTTGACTCAAATTTTTCTGTTTTGCAAAAGGTTGAAACTATTTGAGATTCTCATGTACTTAAATATTCTCAGTAAATTCCATTTCATGTCTACATAGAAAAAGTGTCTTTTTCAAATATGTACACATGGTGCTTATCGTTTTTAAAAAGTGCTTAAAGGTGCTTATTTTAGATTTTTTTAAAGCCCTTAGAGGTGCTTTTTTCATTGGGTGTTTTTAAAAAGTGCTTAATTTTCCCTTTCCGAAAATAAGATATTCGAAAAGGCATGTCAGTTTTTGCCATGTAGTATGTAAAAATGTGCTTTTCACATTGTTCTATTTAACGTTTTCAAAATTCATTCAACCACCATCTATTTTGGTGTACCGTCGGACGTTCGCGTATGAAAGCGTCAATCATTTTACATGTTTGATGAAATTCTTGTGCATCCGCATGTGCGTCTACTAAACTGGGTTTGGAAAGATTATTGCACTCTCATGTGCAACTCTGCATTTTGCAAGATATTCTCCATTTCAGTCTTCATTTTCCAGTTTCCACCCTCTGATATTGAACCAAAAAATCTCTTGATCGTTTTTTAATGGCTAATATAATCAAGAAAAGAGTTCTTTGTCAGAAATGAGTTATTTTATTATAATCATGTAAAGACTTTGAAAATTATTTTGTGTTTTTTAATGGATATAGTACTTAAAAATATTTTTTGAGTGCTTAAAAAGCACTGAAAAGGTGTTTTTTTTTTGTTGAAAGATTTTGTTACGCACCCTGTTTACACCTATTACTTTATATATTTATTTAGAATGAATTTTAGTCTTTGACTTGAAATTAATATTTTCTTTTCATATTTTAAATAGGTGGCAGAAATTATTCAAGTCAAGGTTTCTTCAAAGTTTAGCTTCCTATTCAAACTTCTATTTCTCAGCATTTTTTGTAATTTTGCTGTTGCTATTTTTAGGTATGTTGTTTTTAATCAAACTATTGTTTTTTAAGAAATATATTTCTATATTGCATACTCTATTTAAATTTTTTTTATGCTATTACCATATCCGTGGCAGAATTGCGGAGACAATATCGCAGAACGTTTGAGTTTTTTGCAGAAATAAACGGCACTGAAAAAAATGCAAAGTGTTGCTTTGAAAAAACCCCAACTATATTAGATTGGGCATAATTAAATATCTAACACAAAAAATAAACAAAGTAATAGTAATCATAGCGAAAGAAAGCAAATATTAATTTAAATTAGTAAGTCTAACTTAACTTCGACAGCAATCCTTTATTTTTGATTTTTGATAGGATTGCAGTACATGCAAATCAGTTAAAAAAAATTAAAATTGAGCAAGAAAAATAAATATGGATGACAAAATATTTCATAAAAGGAAAGAAAACGTATTTATTTACATTAATCATAATCCGAGAATTCATCGAAATAAATATCAGAGTTATCATTCATCAGTAATATCATTATATATAGATCTGACTTAACTACTAAAGATCCTTTTTTTAGACTTTCTAAGAATGCTGTTTAGACAACTGATTTTGGGATTGTGGGCTCCTAAAGCGACTATTTTTGAGCATATTTGGGCCATGCCTATCAGGTTGGCTGGTTTAAACAATTGTGGTTTAAACCATGATTTTAACTAATATTTTTTTAATTTTTTTTTTAAATATTTTATGTAATTAAATTTTCTACTTATATAAATACCTTCAGTTTGATTGTAATGAAATGAAAAAAGATAAATTTTCTTGCATTTTTTTTCTTCTACTTTTGTATGTGATTGTTATTGGAAATTCATATTTCAAATAAATATAAATCTGAAGTTTTTAAATGATTACGTAGAACTGGTTTTTTACAAAAATATCTATGTTAAGCAACATTCGTGCTTTGTTCAGAAGCCAATTTCTCCCATAACAGAAGGACAATTATTTTAATAATAAGTATGTATTATTATTAAAATTTAATGACTTAAACAAATAAAATTAAATAAAGTAGCAGAAAGTTAAAAGTTGATCATGTGTATTTTTTTTAAAAAAATTATTTGTTTTTTGAAGCATTTTAAGATCTATATATCATTCTTTAAAAGACTGTTTGAGTATTCATACTTAAGATTATTTGATTATAAAAATTAGCTATTTGTAATTGAGAATTCAATATGTATTTTTAGTAGTGTGTTTAGTATGTGATTTGTTAATTTACTGGTATTAATAGAATTCTATTATGTTACTTTAATAGTTCTTTATTAATTATAAAATTAAGTTTTACTATACTTTTTAAAGTGAAGTATTGAAAAACTACTTATCTGAATTTTTGTTCAAAAAGCAGAATTTTTTTATAAAATGTTTAAAATAAACTTAAAATATTTAATACTTTTTTTTTGAAAAAAGTTTCTTTCACTTGGGCTGGAAGAAACCTATTTCTTCCAGGGAGATATTTTCTGAAATTTTTCATTCCTGATGTAAAATAAAGTTAGAAAATTTAATATTAAGTCAATGTCTCTTAAAAATGCTTAAAATACACATCCCATGTTCTGTAGTTTTTTAAATTATTTAAATAATGTAAATAATGAAGAGTTAAAGCTCATTTATATTAAAATTTGTATTGATTTAATAAATAAAAAACAAATCTTTAATTTAGAATAATTGATATTAATACATCTAAATGTATCTTGCTAAATAAGAACATTAATGTAAACAATTCTGAATTATGTAATTTCCTTATATGCCAACAATCAAGAAAGTAAACTAATTTTTACGTACATGCACTATTAAAAAAACAAGAGTTAAATGTTTATTTGCTTGTTAAATGGAGTTGCGATAAGTATTCAAGATCTTTTTTTATATGTTTTTTTATCATGTTCACATATTTATGAGCAAAAGTGAATAGTTTAGTTTTGTTTGTATTCTTTATCAAAATATTTTGAATGGGGCTTAACATGTTATTTAAATTCTTGTTTGAAAAAGCAGGAAGAAAAAAAAACCTGGCTTATACCAAAAGAATTCCAAACCAGCCTTGTATCTATTGAAGTGTTTGGAAAACAATGCAACTTGTGAAACAGTGATTTTATTTTTTATTTGTGCTTAAAAATATTTTTTGAGTGCTTAAAAAGCTTATTTTTTGTTGAACGATTTGGCTACACACCTGGGAAAATATTTAGCTACGAATTAGCATACTTGTGTCTGCAATGAGTTGCTTTTAGATACTTCTGGTTTGTAAGTTGTTAATATTAACTTCTTTATCCACTAATGATTCCTTTTTCCTGTTAGATTCTATTCGACAGATGAATAAATACTCCACAGCTAAGGATCAGGAAATGAGTCATGGTCACCTTGATGCTGAACTCCAACAAAGTATGCGAATGTTCCGGGCTCAGAGGAACTGCTACATTGCAGGATTTGCCCTATTCCTTGCACCGTAATAACATCCTTTGTCCTTTTATGCATAATTTATATTTTAATGTAATTTGTCCATTTATTTTAAGTTTCAGCCATTTTATGTAAGTTTAAAGTTGCTTCATTCTATTGTGAAAAAATTCATAACTACTATTTGTATGTTTGATTAACTTTGTAGTGTTTTTTGGCAGAGATTTAACTTTGAACTGTACAAGATTTATAAACTACCTGATATTATTAAATGCCTAAATATAAATTGAATGAATTTGATTTCAAACGTGATTCAAATAAGTGATGACAATATACAATGAAAAGAGTGCTTTTTAGACCCACTGCAACTAGAAAGCGGGGAAGGCCACGGTTGAGATGGGCTGATTCCGTGGAGTCTGATTTTCTTGCAATTAGGTAATGAAAAAAAATTGGAGATCAAAGATAAATCAAAAGTTGTTGTGGAGAAATTTTCAGAGGAGGGCATTGGCCCACAATGGGCTGTCTGGCCATCTATGATGCTGCTGCTTTTGTTTTCTATTGTGAAGGTAAGAAAACAGTGTAACGTCAAAAGCTGACCTCTACTTCCCTCCCAAAAAATAAAAAAAAATGGCTAGTCTATTTAACATGGTCTTTTCCATTTGTCAAACAAGTTTTGAAATAATTTTTTTTTTCTCAAGCAAGTAAATCACTGAGTTCTATAGAGAAGTCTTCTTAATGTAATTATATGCTATAATATAATAAGTTTTTAATTTCAAATAATTTAAATTGGGAGAAAATATTATCTAAGTGTGAAGGCCTCAGATTACCGATTGTTTTCATTATGTCTGAAAATTTTTAATTAAATAGTTAATGAGTTAATAGCCAATAAATGCTTTAATGGAATTCAAAAATACATCAAAGCTGATATAATTCATTGAAAAACAAAAGTTTTATTATATAAATCTCTTTTAAGATCAATTTTAACATATGCTTGTGAAACCTGGACCATATCTTGTACGAATGAGGTTATGTTGGGTACCTTTGAGAGAAAGGTCTTGTGAATTATTTTTGGAGGAATTCAAAGAATGGTGTGTGGCTAAAAAGAACAAATTTAGAGCTTTAACACTCATCTAATGATCCTGACAGTATTAACTTTATTAAACGACAAAGAATAAAGTGGGCAGACAGTGGGAAGTTTGAGATGCATAAATGGCCTAGAAAAAGACCTTTTAGTCTTAAAAACTAAAAACTGGAAAATGCTAACAGGAAAAAGGTTAGGCTGGAAAAGACTTCTTGAGAAATCCAAGGCTCACCCTGTGCTGTCGAGCTATTGATGATGATTTCCAAAAATCTGCAATATATATTATCATTGTAGTCAATAAGTTTTAAAGGGTTGAGAGAGAGGGAAAGCATGTAACTGTCCGACTGGATATGCACATTTTTCTTTTTGAACATATTCAGAGTTAGCTGTTATGCTTATAAAAATTTAGAATAGATAAACATTGAGTGTTTAGATCAACCAGAAATAATTTGTTTCATTATTATATATATATTTCCTCATACATAATACGGTTCATTAATTTAAATAACTGTTGTATATGAAAACATTATGCTAAATCTTATCACATTATCACTTTTTAGCATCTGCTTAATTTAATTATCTGTGAGCGAAATTTGAATAGACATCATCTTTTAGTTGTATAAACAAGCCTACCAAATTTAGTTTATGTAGCAGAACTCCTTTTGGGTTGTCACGAGGAAAACCTGGAAAATACAGGGAATTTAAAAATCACCTGAAATTACAGGAAAAATGCAGGGAATTTTTATTTTTTCTTCACGAACTGGGAAAATACAGGGAATCTTTTGTCTTTTAAAAAAGGGTGACCACTCAAAGTGTAATCTATGGGATATTTGAGGATGATATTTTAGTTATACTAAACTATTTAATTTACTATAGCATTATTTAAATATGTTCAGCTGTTCCTTTTTTCCTCTATAAGTTATCCCCTCAATTAAAATTAGTATAGTTAGCCCAAATTTAGCTGACAAAAGAGCACAATCATTGTGTTTCCTCTAGTTACATTGTGTATACAATTTTTTCTCTCCAGATTTGAGTGGCAACCCTGTTCTTGGTGTTGGGATTCCCCCCCCCCTCAGTGCCAGGGTGCGTAGCGTTTTTAAAATGTGCTTAAAGGTGCTTATTTTATTTGGTGTTTGTAAAAAGTTATTAATTTTCAATCCTTTAAAAAGATATTTTTTCTTTACTGTGTCAATTGTAGTTCTAAATTTTAAAGAAAATTTCACCATTTTCATAATTTTCTCTACAATATTTATCAGAAACTAGTCATTTTATTCTAATTATGTAAAGTTTTTGAATTTTATTAATATAATGTTTATAAATTAAGAACTTTAAATGGTAGAAAAAATAATTTTTATTACTGCAGCGATCATAATTATGATTTTTTTTTGGGGGAAATGATTAAAATTATTTTTTGAGTGCTTAAAAAGTACTTAAAATGTGCTTATTTTTCGTTGAAAAATCTGGTTATGCACCCTAAGTGTACAGTGTATGTATATGAACAAATTCAATTTAGTATAGATTTATTTTTATCTGTTTATACGCAGTTCTTGATAAATGAATTTTATTTTATGCCAGTGTCATTCGTCGCTTGACTTCTTTACTATCTAAGAATGCAGAGTTGATTGCAAGAGAGTGTGCTTCTTTGAAACAAGCTCAAAGTGCTGCAGATGCTGCCAAAAACCTGATGGCTGAGAAGGAAAAGGTATTTCAAAAAATATTTAATGACTCAGGGTTTGTTTGCCTGAGGGAGAACTTTTAAGGTTTCTAAGCATTTAATGATAAACACTCTTTTGTTGGAAATTATTTCAATTGGGTACTTGCACTTCAAGGTGACTTTCTCATCCACATATGTGACTTATGACATGAATGGCAGCTAATCTTTATCAGCCAAATGGCATATAAAAGTTGAGCTAAGTTTCTCTACATAAGTTAGAATGTTAATCAATGTATTTAAATACAGTGCTGCATTACACATTGAATTGGTTGATTGTAATTCATTATCACCTACTTCTTTTACTTAAACTTAGATTTAACAAATCCCTTATCTTTGCGTTGCTGGAAAGTAATTTTATAGATCTTGTTTATTTAGTTGTCAAAGAGTATAGAAATATTTGTTTAAAAAAATTATTACATTTCTTAAGAAAATAAAATTTTTATTTGCACTTCTCAGAATCCCTTAAAAAGCAAAGCAGATTTTTAAATAATTTTTAAATTTTTCTTTTATTTGATTGATTTAAATTAATAATTAAAATCTGTGATTTAAATCATTGGCTAAACATCTTTTTTTGTTTGAATTCAAATCCAGCATCTTACTATTTTAAAACTTCTGTCTGTGTAGAATATAGTGGTTGTGCTGTGTCATAAGCATTAGATTATTAGTCCCGCAGTGGATTGTTTGTTAAGACACGATTCTCAGTAGAACCCCAAAGTTAAGCATCACTGGCTGCAATCAGTGAGCGGGTCGGTGATCACTTTGATCAGCCTGCGTAGGGACTGAGGGTGAACAGTATCGGTCTTCATTAAACCGTGTTACCGTAAAGTGCTCGACTTCGCACAGGGGTTATCGGGCTACCAAAGCCTGTGTAGAGAATCAAAATTGAGATGGCATGTCATCGGATCATCCTCGTGAATGTTTCCCAGACCGTCCCCAATATCTCATTGTGAGCTCTAGCCCCAAGGCGGAATCACAGCAACATTGTTACAGAATGTTAGAGTTCTTGTGGGAAGATTTGTCTTTCTACAGAAATTTACGCTTGATTTTGATCATGCATTTAGACAATCACTTTTTGGCTTGCCCAATTTATGCAGATTTTATCGTAAATCAATGTCTTGTTTCGATTGTATTTTCGGAAGTTATTGATATAGATTTTTATGTGGTGTTTAATATCCCGATATATTTCAAACAATGTGGAAAATTCAAATGGCACATTTGGGTATCCTTTTTTTAAGGCTATGATTCTATCGATTTTTTGGCTGTTATTGCTATTGATTTCTACAAGTTTTTAAATCCGATATGTTTTATATGATATTATTAATTACAACAACCTAATCTCGAAACGAAACACGCATTTGAGAAATCCCTTTTTCGAGGAGACTGATTCACGTGATTTCATCATCAATCTTTTTTTCGGCAATCACTACTACGGATTTCATGATTTTTTAAAAATTTTTTTATTATGATTATTTACAAACTGTGAAGAAGGAAATATTTAGTGTGCCACCCCTACAAAATTCGAGAATATCACCCATAATATTAGAATAAAAAATTATTACATGTTTACTTAAAAAACATTATACAGTTTTTTTTGTAAACACAGCGCTTCTGTTATTTTAAATTAGTAACATGTATGTTTGTTATTGTTAAAAGTATCTTGCAGAAAGATATTAGTGCTAGAGAATTTTGTCGCAGATAGCTCGAAAAAATTCTGCCCCAGGGGAGCTCTGGTGGGACTTAAATAAAGTACCATTAGATTTTTAACCATAGATGCCACTAACTTCTAATTTAATATCTTTTTTCTAAATCCCTAAAATATATTTTTTGATGATTGATGCTATGTGGTTGTCTATGTATGATGAAAGGGTGCTTAGATATTAATTTAATACTTTTATACCAGTATTTTTCTGCCTTTCCCACCACACTGTACTTTGTCCTTTTGTTCAATTTTACAAATTTATTATTGTTGAAAGGGACACAATTTATTCTTTCTTCTTCTAAATTTTGAAGATGGAGCAGCAAGAGAGTAAAGACAATAGACAGAATGAAGAATACGAAAAAAGAGTGAAAAGTCTGGAATCTGAATTAAAAGAAAAATCACAGGGTAAGATTTCCATATTTTCATAGCAAATTTTTTTTTCTTCACAACAATATTTTTAACAATGTTTTTTTTTTTAATTTTTCTTTAAAAGGAATTATATTTAAATATATAAACAGGGTGCATATCGTTCATAAAAATGAGCTTAAGGGTGCTTTTTTTTCATTTAAAGGTGCTTTTTTTCAAGATTTTTCTTTACCATGCTGATTTTAGCCACAAATTATGAAAAAAGACATTGTTCTATTTAATGTTTTCACAAATAATTCAACCCCCATTTATGTCCGTAGAGCATAAAAAAGCCATTCGTTTTGCATGTTTGATGAAATACTTGCCGCATGTGCGTATACTCAGCTGGATTCAGTGGGAAGGGTTTTTGCCCTCTCATGTGCAACTCTGCTACATTTTGATGCAAGTGATTCTCAATTTCGGGCTTCCTTTTTTTTCCTCTGAAATTGAACCAAAAAAATTTCTCGAATTTTCGCTTATTAACTGATCATTGTCAAACTTTTTTCTCTAATAGAGATAGAAAATTTTAATTTTCTTGTTAATTTCATTGTTGGTGACGTGCCATTGTCTTCGTCACTGGAAAGCTAATTCCCTTCTCATGATATTCTATTTATAGACCCAATGTCATAATCTTTGAACTTGACTTGGGGATCATTCACCAATTACATATTTTTATGGGTGTTCCCAGAGCAGTCAAGAGTCCTGAAGCTTCATCTCCCCAAAATTTCTATCTCCCTTTTATTCATTAAATTTAAGAATCAATTGAAAATTTTAAGAGAAATAGTTTTACCTTAGGGACCGTCCATCAGTTGCATAAAATTTTTGTAAACTTTTATTGTACTTTATTACTTTTTTTGCTTATTACTTTTTATAAATTATTGTATTATTACTTTTAAAATTTTCAGTACTCTTATGTTTTATGAGTCTGAAGTGTGGGGCTTTTAATACTTTTAATGCAGCAAAAAATCTTACGTTTAGTTATGTAAGAAAGTTCAGATTTGTCATCCCAAGAAACTTTAATTCATCTCTTAATGATTTTATTTACAAACAATCAAAATTCAATTATCTCAGATTTGTTAAATATTATGTATGTAGGGACCATGTAATAATTTATTTCTGACAAAATGTTTAGCTTCAATACTCATTGTATTTACATTTCAAAATTATTTACTTTTTTTTAATCGTCAATTAAAGAAATACTGGATAATGTAAAAAATAATTTTAAAAAAATTTAGGGGCCATTCACTGATTAACATTTATAATATGAATTTATTAAGAGTTTTCTTAGTTCTTTACATATCTTTATAAATTCGGTATGATCAATATTATTGGTCTTGTTAATGTTTTGCTGAATATGCTTTTATCAATAACTATTATTTAAATCTGAAAAAATACATTTGATATCCTTTTTAAATATAAGTTAAAATAATCATTTTGAATTAAATTTTTTACATACTTAAATTATGCAATTATTAATTTAAAGATGGAATGAGATAATAAAGATGCTACTTAATATTTAATATCTTTAAAATTGGGATAAATTGTTTTTGTGGTGGCTAATATAAATCCAAAAATATTTAAAAAATATTTCCAAAAATATTTAAAAGAAGTTATTTTACTTAAGGAAAAAAAAAGAAAAATGTTAAAACTTTTGGGAAAATTTTGATATAAAAAAATCAGCTTTGTTTTGAAGAAATATTAGGATCTGAGAATTTTCTGCACTCCTGCTTATATGTACATGAATGTTTCCAATAAATCATAAGTATAATGTATTCCCTGATAAGTAAACTAATTATAATTTACAAAAAATATAAATGTTTGAATGAGTTAATACTTTTTTTTAAATCAAACCGAAAAAAAGGATTCCCTTTTTCTCGCTGACCAGAGCCAAAACCTGTCCTAAACAATGACCCCATACCCCTACTTGAAATAGTTATACCTCTTTACCATAGTCACCGTCATAGGATCCAGACAAATGACAAATAGGGGAGTTCTTACTTTAGACAAACTTTACCTTTCATTGCAAAAGCATATTGAAAAGTAAAAGTACAGTCTGATTACACATTGCACCTGTAGTTCAATAGGACCACTGGAAACATACATTGTTTGCCCTTGTTGACTTCTCGGGGCGCAATATTTCTTGAAAGTTGAGTGTTTTGGGGGGCAGTAGAGCCGGACAGTCAACTAAAAAAGTGTGGTCCTTTTCTGGGCTCATTCAGAATTTTTTTTTTCGTTATTGGCTCAGTTAATTGAGGCTCTACTGTAGTGTTTTTTTCTTCAAAGACTTGTTTGATAATGTATTTTATGTATTTCAAACTCTCACCTATTTTTATTTTTTAGAATTGTTGAAAGCTCAGAAAAATCTCGAAAGCATGAAGAGTCAAGCGGAAGCTACAAATAAAGAATATGACAGGTTATTGGCTGAAGTTGATGTGCTACAAGTAAGTTTTGCTTAATTAAAATTTGCAATTAAAATAAAATAAAAATCTGTTAAATGCTTGTTGCACTTTCACTTGAAATCATGTTGAGTTTAAATAATAGAGATAGCATAGATTTCAATCTTGCCTAGAGTTCAACCCACCTTGTTCAAAGTAAACTATTTTTTGAAAGTTTTTTTTTCTTCATTTGTTTCTTTAATTTCGAAAATTAATTTTTAAAGTTACTTTGTCAATTATGTTTTAAAATTTTTCAAAAGTTAAATCCGTAAGTAGCAAATATGTATTTACATGAATTCAAAGTCAGTCTTGCATCCAATACTGAGCTGTAGTTTCTTACTTTTTCCAATCGCAGATTTGAAACTGGAATGTAACCTAATGTAAATTTTGAGGGGGCATAGCGTTTTTAAAAAGTGCTTAAAGGTGCTTTTTTCATTAGGTGTTTTTAAAAAGTGCTTAATTTTGCCTTTTCCAAAATGAGATGTTTTTTTACTGTGTCAATTTTCATCATGAGGGTTGCAAAATGCATGGTTTTCACATTGTTCTATTCAACGTTTTCACAATTTATTCAACCACAATCCATTTCAACTTACTGTCAGTTCGTAGTGTATGAGAGCGCCATTAAATTCACACTTTTGATGAAACACTTGCAGGGTCCACATGTGCGTATGGGCTGTATTCATTGGGAAGGATTATTTTGTTTTCATGAAAAACTCTGCTGCATTTTGCAGGAGATTCTCAATTTCAAGTTTCATTTTCCGTCCTGTGAAATTTAATCGAAAAATCTCTCTAATTTTTACTGCTTACAGGGACCAACTAAGCATTGTCTTTCTTTTCTTTTCCCTAAAAGCAAAGAACATTTTATTTCTCTTGTTAATTTTTTCGTTGGTGAAGCAACATTGTCTTTATCACTGGCAAGCTAATAGCCTTCTCGCATTCTTCTATTAATAGATCAATACACTAATCCTTGACCTTGATTTGGGGATCAATCACTAATTACGCATTTTTATGTGGGTCTCCAGAGTATTAAAGAATTACAAAGCTTCATCTCGAAATTTCCATCTCCCTCTTATTCATTTAATTTAATAATGATAAGAATTGAGATTTTAATTTGTAAGTTTTTTTACTTAAAGGATCGTCCACCAATTGTATAAAAGTCTTGTAAACTTTTATTGTAATTTACTACTTTTTTTTACTTATTACTTTTTATCATTGTATTATTACTTTTAAACTTTCATTACTTTAAAATTGTTTCATGAAAAAACTACATAATATTTATAGACAAGGTTTATTGAAGTGAGAGACTTTCACTATTTTAAATGAGCAAAAAATCTTACATTATTCAAATTTGTTATTCCAAAAAACTTTAAATGGGTTAAACTTAAAACTTTAATGATCTTATTTAAAAGCAGATTAAATAAATTTAAAAAAAATCAATTGTCTCAATTTGTTAAATATTATGACTGCAGGGACCATATAACTTTTGACAAAAATATTTAGCTTCAATACTCATTCTATTTCTGAACCAACCAACAAATTTTATTATAAATCTATTTGGGATCGTATAATATAAATTTATTTGGGGACTATATATAATATAGTCCCTAATAAATTTATATAATAAATTTATTAGGGACCATATTATATACATTTTTTAGGGGCCATCCATTACGTTTGTGAATTATACTATTTTTTAAAATAAAATTAAATGCAAACTTAAACAAAAAACGTAATTTTTTATTTATTTAAAATAGATCTATCATTCATTATTGGTAAATTTGTTTTTACACACTTATATCAGTTGGGATAAATTTCACAGATAATACTAGATTATTTACTAGATAATACTAATTTTATAGATTAATTAATGCTAGTAGAAATCACAAAATTTGATAATTCAAATTAAGGGACCTAATTATATACAAGGTTGTGATATCTCCTTAACCACGTTAAAAATTGTTTGAAACTTTTCGAAAATTGAGTTATTCTTTCAAAAAGAAACTCAATAATTTTATATTATCAAACTTTTAAGGTGATAAATTCAGGTCATACGCTTTATTATTTTAAGCAAATGCAGTTACATCTTGTAGGATGGTTTTTGTAGCTATGCAATTATTGATGATTAATTTCTTTCATTTGATTTTAAAAAATTGCTTCCGAACTCTTGAATTTTAAATTGAGGGATCATCCATTGAAATTTCTTTTGTACAAATCTTGTAGGTTGGTTTTTGTAGTTACACAATTATTGATTTGTTTCTTTCATCTGATTTTAAAAACTGAATCCAAATCCCTAAATTATAAATTGAGGGACCATACACTAAAATTTCTTTTGTACAAATTGGCATATTTGCAGTGTTTTCATTTCTAGATTGAAATTCTTTGATTAAGGAAATCTTGAACTCAATTACAAATTTTAATTACATATTGGTATGGGGTATAATAACTAGTTTTTTTTTAATGAAACAGTTTTATAATTTTTCATGTTTTCACGCTATTATGAGTTGTTCAGTAGTGATAAAATTATGTTGGAAATTGTAAACCTAACAAAACAATTCTGAAATTAAAAATATCTTTTATTAATTTTTACAACAAAATTTGTTTTTATTACACACGTAAGTATAGCTAATCATACTATTTTTTTTTAATATGCTGTTTACTCATTTCAAAGTAGTCTGTATATGTATGCTATTCCAAAAAATGTCCTCCTTTTTATTTATCTTTGAAAAATGTTTTGATTTTTTTTTGATTTTTTTTTTTTTGATTTGATTTTCAGTCTGCGTAGGGACCAAGGGCGTGCGACATTGGTCCTCGTTAATCTGTGCTACCGTAAAGTGCTCGACTTCGCGCGCAGGTCGTCAGGCTACCGAAGCGGAGGTGCCATCCCCTCTGCAGAGGATCAAAATTGTGATGGCATGTCTTCGAATCATCCTCAGGGATGTTTCCCAGACCGTCACCAATAGCCCATTGTGCAGCTCAAGTGCGACGTAAATGAACTACTACAACAACATTTACCTTATAACCCAAGATTAACTTGATTTTTGACTTGAAGGTGTGCAGGATTTTTAAAATTTTGCCGATTGTAAGGAATCGAATTAGCCATAAATTTAAACTTCTGTTCTAATAAGTAACTTTATATATTCTGTATTTAAAACTACAAATAAACCCAGTGAGAAACAATTAAATGAACTAATTCATTAGAGAAAATAGCTCCCCAGTGCTGGTTTTCTTTTCCACCCCACTCTAACCTTCACTGTTCTCCACATTAAAACCCTTCATTGGTATTTTACTCTATTTTTGTGAATAGTTATAGCAAATGATCACGAAAATCATAGGAGGGCTAATAGTCGCCCATCAACATTTAAAAACTACTAAAGTTGGTGGGAATTATGCTTCCCATTACCTTATAAAGAGTTAATGTAATTAAATGTGGGGCGAGTAGTTATTGACAATGCCAACCTTTATCTATTTAAAGGTACTTCACATAGTGCGTAGGGTTTTTAAAAAGTGCTTATTTTCAATATTCCTTTTTTAAAAGCTCTTAAAGGTGCTTTTTTCATTGGGTGTTTTTAAAAAGTGCTTCATTTTCCCTTTTCGAAAATTAGATTTTTATTTTTACCTTGTCGATTTTAATTACGTGTTATGCAGAAGCGTGCTTTTCAAATTGTTCTATTCGATGTTTTCACAATTCATTCAACAATCTATTTCGGCTTACCGTCGGTCCATAGCGTATGAAAGCGCCTATCCTTTTACATGTTTGATGCAATACTTGTGAAATTGCATGTGCGTCTTTTGAGCTGGGTTCGGTAAAATTCTTGCACTCTCCTATGCAACTCTGCTGCATTTTTTAATGGCTAATATAATCAGGAAAAGAATTATTTGTAAAAAACTGGTTATTTTATCACTATCATGTAAAGTCTTTGAAAAATATTTTTTGAGTGCTTAAAAAGTACAGTCGGACCTTGATAATTTGACACTCGCTTAATTCGTCACTTCGGTTATTTCGGCGCTTTTTTCAAGTCCCGATTGATTTGCATTGGATTTAGTGTTAACAAACTCTGTTTAATACGTCATGGGGAAATTATGAACTTCGGATAAAATGACACTTTAAAGAATTCGCACTAGGCAACTGGTTCTTGGAATTCGGACACTGAAAGCGTTTTCCCCTGCCCTTTTGTCTCACTCCTCCTTCCACCACCTCTTGCTGAAAGAGTTGCTGCTTCTTATCTCTGACCTTACGAGGGGGTAATGGAATTCGGCACTGGAAGCGTTTTTCCCCTGCCCTTTTGTCTCACCCCTCCTTCCACCACGTCTTGCAGAAAGAGTTGCAATAATGCTCCTTATCTCTGACCTTAAGAGGGGGTAACGGCGGGGGCGGGAGAACAGGTGGCAGAAAACGAGCATGTTGGAATGCGCGCCTTTTCTTCTCTCTCCTGTGAAACTTAGTACGGCGTAGCAGTGCGGTGNGGGCGGGAAAACATGTGGCAGAAAACGAGCATGTTGGAGTGCGCGCCTTTTCTTCTCTCTCCTGTAAAACTTAGTAGGGCGTAGCAGTGCGGTGGTGTATCGAGTCTCGCTAGTCTTTAGTTCAGTGCCATGGCGAGTAAACTTGGATACAAATCTTGGACGTTGGATGAAAAGCTCCAAATGATAAGAGAATTTGAGCAATCTGGAATGTCTAAGGCTGCTTTTGCAAAACGGAAAGGAGTCCCTCGCACAACGTTCATTGCCATTTTGTCCTTAAAAGATAAAATTGAAAGTTCTTTAGGTGTTCAGGATGGCGAGAAGAGAAAGAGAATGCGTGTTTCGACCTTCGAAGACGTTGAAAATGCTCTTGTTAAATGGTTTAGAATGGCCCGAGCCCAAAACATTCCAATTTCAGGACTTATCCTGAAAGAGAAAGCTTTGCAATTTGCAAATGAACTGGGTGTTTCGGAGCTCTCGGCGAGCAACGGCTGGTTTGAACGGTTCAAAGAGAGACATGGACTTTCCTTCAAAAAGATGTGCGGAGAAGCAAAATGGTCTCTTAAAAGATGTTCTCCAGCGCTATAACCCTTGTGATGTATTCAACCTTGATGAGACAGGTCTCTTTTTTCGACTTGTGCCTGACAAGACTTTGACTTTTCAATCAGAGGACTGCTCAGGTGGGAAGAAAAGCAAACAACAAGTTACTGTTCTGTTAGGAGCAAACATGGATGGTTCCGAAAAACTTAAGCCTCTGGTCATAGGCAAGAGTGCAAAACCAAGGTGCTTCAAAAATGTGAAGTCTTAGAGTGTATCATATGAAGCAAACTCAAAGTCTTGGATGACCTCCAATGTTTGGGAAAAAACTCTGAAAGAGTTTGACAAAAAATTCCATGCAACAAATCGTAAAGTGGCGTTTGTTGTGGACAATTGCACAGCGCATACTGAGGTAAGCAACCTTCAATCAGTGGAGTTAGTTTACATGCCGCCCAATGCCACTTCAGTTTTACAGCCCCTTGATCAAGGAATTATTTCCAGCTTCAAGAGACACTATCGGAAACATCTTGTAAGAGACTGGATTAAAGCCATTGATGAAGGGAGAGAATGGAAACAAAATCTCTTAGATGGCATTAATTACATCCACAGGAGTTGGGCTGATGTGACCGATAAAACCATCAAAAACTGCTTCAGGCATGCTGGATTTGTTGAAAGTCCAAGCTCGTCAGAAGATGTTAATGATGATGAAGATGATAACGTCCCTTTATCTGAATTGCTCAGGCAACTGAAAGAACGCAACAAAGATGTGATGGATGAAGAAACATACCTTGGAATTGACCAAAATCTCGTGACATCTCCAGAACTAACCGTCTCGGAAATCGCGAACGAAATCCGCGAAAGACATGTTCCAGCATCTGAAGAGAGTGAAAGCGAGGATGAGGTGGAAGTTCCTCCTTCCAAAAATGAAGCTCTTCAGTGCATTGAAGTTCTAAGAAAATATTTTTCTTCAATATCTGGCACTGAGGAAGATTTGAACTCTGTGTACAAGCTCGAAAAAAGAATTATGCTAAGTAATCCCCATACCAAACAAACCCGTATTGATGGTTTTTTCATTCCTAAATAAATAAAAGTAAGTTATGTAAACCATACTGTTTGTCTTTCTACTGATGCTATGTTTTAATTGAATTGTTTTAATGCAAATTCTTCAACGTTTTCTTTTTATTTTAAGAAATTGAAATTTCACTGCTGTATGTAATAATTGTTAATTTATGGGTATTTTTCCAATTTTTTGAAAAACAATGCAACTCCGGTTCATTCGTCACTCCGCTTAATTCGTCAGTTTTTCAGAGGTCCCGAGAGTGTCGAATTAACGAGGTTTGACTGTACTTAAAAGGTGCTAATTTTTGTTGAAAGATTTGGCTACGCACCCTGCTTCGAGATAGAATCAAGTTAACACATCTTATATACTAGTGAATTAATGTTTAAAAATCTTAGCACTAGTTACGTCACAATTAACCCCCGCTAGAATTTTATCAAGGATAGAATTGGATGAACGGTTACCACTTGTTGCCGTATTTGTGAAAGACCAGGAGAGCTGTATTAAGTTCACCAGAATTTGAGCACTTGTAGTGAGAGCTATATTAAGTTCGAGTTTTGAGTGTTTGTCGCGAGAGCTGTTTTAAGTTCATGGTTGTGTGTGTGGTCTCACCTGAGTTGCTATTAGCAGTCGAGTGTGTGCAGGATCCTGTTGTGTGTAAATGAGACTGAGAAGCAACAGTGGGAGGATAATGTTGCAGTCACAAATAGCAAGTCAACTGTTCAATGTGGACCATCCATTTAGTCCGCTGGTCTCCAATGTGGGCCAAATAGTTATGAACAATGCCAACCTTTATCTATCTAAAAAAAACTCAAGATAGAATGAAGTTAACACATCTTATATACTCTTGAATTTTTGTTTAATAATCGTAGTGGTAGTTACGTCACATTAACAATATTTTTTAAGTGTCAAAATTTTATTTTATCATTTTAATAATTTTGCTGGAGAATTTCCTCTCATACTTTTTAAATTCTTGAATAGATTACCAATGAATAAATGCAGTTCATTTATGTATAATAATTTTTTTTTTACAGAAACAAGTTGTAAAAAGTGGTGGCGAAGGAGATAAGAAGAATGAATAAGGTTTGTGATATTATTGTGCTCCTGAATAAAAATTCACCAAAGTGCATATTTTAATGGACACTATTTGGGAATAACCAATAACAATGTTTTACATCCTGTAGTTTATTTTGTTTAAAAACCATGATAACAAAATATTTTTTTTTGTACTTGCTTTCATTAACATTCACTCACTTTGATTATCGTTTTAAAGAATGGCTCTATCATATTTGTGAATTCTGTATTGAATATGTAATTTTGTGCCATTTTGCTTGGAAATAAAAGAACAAATAGGCATATTGAAAGTTTTATTAATGAAAAAAATATGACACCATCATTATTATGATACAAAATGAAAATAAAAAATGAAATATGACTGTAATTTGAACTGGCCAATGCCGATTTGCTTGATATTTAATCTAGATTGGTTTTTAAACCTACAAATAAGATTGAAATTTTATCCGGCTAATTTCATTAGTCCCATTGTATGATGTAAATTCTATAGAATATGATACACTTTTGACATTGGCGATTTCGCATGTACAGACTTAAACAGCTTAGACATTTCTATTGCAGAAAATATAGATTCAATTAAAAAATATTATACAAATATCACAGTACATTTTAAATTTCTGAAAATGCACAACTCTTCATTTTTTATTTCAAAGAAAAAAAAGTTACAATGTAGATATTAATTTACAGATTTGTTTCAACTTATGTTTGATAGTGCCTAAAAATAAAAACTCTAGTACTTGCTTAGAAACTCAGTTGATTCATGCTATGTGTTCGGTTTTACAATGCAATATTTTTTCAAAAGGTGATTACAATTAAAGTGAGCCTCCCAAGACTAATCATAAAATAGTGCGCCAAAAAAAAAGACTACCCTGAGTAACTTAAGATTAAATTATCTGGTCTTTGTGTTCTAGGACTCTATCTTAATGATTAAAGAGGATGACCTTTGATATGTTTTTACTTTTTGTATATTTTGCCAAATCTCTAGAGCTTTTTGGGGGTGGTCCTTTTATTTTTGCCGCATTGTACATTCTGTACAATGGATAACCATGAAACTTTGTATGTACTTCCTTCTAATAAAGCAAATAAGTTCAAATTTTGACCACCGGGTATGATAAGGGCACGCATAAGTAAAACTTTGTGCTGAATGATTTAGTTTTATATCTGAAAGTGATGTGTTTATTTTCAAACCACTTCAAATTGTCATAATATATATTCTTGTTCAAGAAGAGCACCCTATGTCCTATAGTCCATGTATACCGAATTTTATAGATATCAGTTAATCAGAATAGACTCCTGTTGGTTTAAACTGGTTGACTTTAATTAATTCCTTTCCTCTAAATGATTTAAAAAATAAAAACGTATCAAAAAACACAAAAAAGGTGAAAAGTACTATAATGGATGAAAACCATTACAAAATGTGGCTTAAAACCTTAATTGGACATGAAGGATTTTTTTAAACATTATATTTGCAAATTTTTCTTTGAAGTTTTAGTATAACTCTGACTGATATTTTCTCATGGGTTTTCTCATATAAAAAACTACAAATATGGGAAATACAAATTTAAAAATGCATGAAATTAAGAATTAATATACTAAAGAATTAAATTTTAATAGAAAAAAAAACTATGTACTTACTGCAAAAATATCATTCAAAAGAATAATGGAAAAAGAGTTATTTAAAATTGTATATAGAAATTTTAGTTTGAATACTCTGTTAGTCTATAAACAAAAAAATAAATAAATCTATAATTGTAACAGATTGCTGTTTTTCTGTAAATTACTGTTTCATCATTGCAAAGGTTTTTAGACCTTCTGCAAATGTGGGCACTGGTCAGGGTTCCGTTTCACTGCCTTCTTTTTTATTATTATTTTATAACCGTCATTGAACAACCGACCCAATTTTGGGGTTAACGACTACTAATGTTCAACTCCATAGCCTTGTAATTTAGAATTCAATCCAGAAGACAAGGGAACTTCTGGATCAAGCATTGGAAGAAATTTGCCTTTGTTGATGACTATTTGATGGAGCTAACCCGCATTTGCGTTACATGGAGAGGCAAACCTCCCAGAATTATCCCAACAGCAAGGGGACTCTATGATCCGTCTACCACTGAGGATATTTCACGTCAGCATTGTGGTCGGTGCGATGGAATTCGTATCGACCAGCCATCGCTGCGATTCGAACTTGGCTCACTTCATTGCAAGACGAACACTCTATCTCCTGGGCCACCATGGCTATCACTGCCTTCATTGGCATCATTTGGACTTCAGTTTTTCCAACCATTTTTTATAATTAGCATCGCACCACAAGTTTCATTATTTCATTGACTGATGCATAAGAATCAAACTTGATATTTGAAATGTTTTTTTTCATCATTACCATCAGGAGCTGCTGTTTTCCTTCTCAAACAAAATAACTTAATTTTTTTTCTTCAAAAGTCTAAAAAATTTATGAACGATAAGCAAGGGAATCTTCTAGTATCCAAAATGATCTAAACAATAACTGTTAACATTATAAAAATAGCAATTGTACAGGACTGGTAAAACAAGACTATTAATGCGGAAACAGTAGATCAGGATTGGAAATTATTCCATAATTATTTCCTTTTTTAAAACTTTTTTTTAAACAAATTTTTCTTAAACTTTCTTAGGTAAAATTATATTGACCCAAGACTTCCTTATTAAATTCATTATTTTGTCTGAGCCATAGCCTTTTTAACTCACTCTGCACAGTATATGAAGTAATACACATTTCATGCAAATTATTGCACAATATATAATATTTGAAACACAGGATATTTTATAATAAACCAATAACAGGAAATAAGATTCAAAAATTATATTATATAAATTTAAATTAACAGCAATATTTTCCATTTGGAATTGACTTTAAATGGATATACAATTTTTTGTATCATGGTTATTATACTTCTAAAATTCTTAATGTTGAATTATAATAATATATGCAAAATTCTTTTTAAGTGCAACATATTCTAGGATTAATTTAGGAACTGAATAAAAAAAATTTTTTTTAGAAAGAAATGTTTGAAAGCAATTAATACGAGGCTCACTTTATTATTCAGTAATAATAATTTAATTCTAAAGTAACGAATAAGATGAGTAAAAATATCATTTTAATAGGGATTTTTGTTGGTACTTTCCTGAAATATACAAAACCCATGGATTCAAATGGAAAAAAGAAGCTGAAACATTACATTTTTGCCAAATGTAGAGGAACTAAAACTGTTAATGAACAGATAAAATGTACAAACACAGTCTTTTTTAAAAACACGAACACTATATAGTTTTCTACATGAAAAGAGTGAAGACTACAATATTTGCTTCTGAATCGTACGGGGAGATAATTATCACATCCTTCTTCATCAGAACCTCTCGACTTGCACGGTGGGAAGAACATATCATTGCAGTAGTTCCTAAACAAAAAAGTAAATAATTGGAATCATTGTTATATAATGGAACATTAAACCTATATACAGGGTGCATAGAGTTTTTAAAAAGTTCTAAAATGCGCTTATTTTTGATTTATGTTTTTTAAAAGCCCTTAAAGGTGCTTTTTTCCATTAGGGTTTTGTAAAAAGTGCTTAATTTTCTATCTTTCAAAATGAGAATTTTTCTTTGCAGTCAATTATCGTCCTAAATTACACAAAAGAAGAAAAAAAACATGATCTTCACAATTTTCTCTGCAATACTTATCAGAAACTAGTTATTTCATCATGATAATGTGAAGTCTTTAGGAAATGTTTTTGCATTTTGTTGGTTTTATGTATATAAATCAACTTTAAACAATAGAAAGAAATAATTTTTATTACTGTTGAAAATATTTTTTGAGTACTTGAAAGGTGCTTATTTTACTCATTTTGCATAATTATTTTTTAAGTGGGAGTAAAATTTGAGTTTACAATATACTTCTTGGATTTAAAATGAATTTAATTACCACTACATATTAAAAAAAAATTAAACATACATATAATTGTATGATTATCTCATTATAGTGTGTTTTAGAGCTCACCAAATACAAAGTATATTTTGGCTTATAATTCAATTTACCACTCGAAAAATCAAAAGTTGATAGGTGTGAACATGGAAACAGTACTTTCCAATTGGCATTTTTTCTACCCAACTGTTCTTTTTAAGGTACCTTATGTACCTAAGCACAGAAAATTAACAAATCAATATGAATTTTTTTATTTCATTAGTACTGAATTAAAATACCTCAAACATGGTTCTGTTGATATTTATGTAAATCATCAACTTTCCAAGCAACTTTAATTTTTATGCATTCATAAATTGGAACACATTGCAAAGACAAACTATAGACAGTTTTCATGATGGATCTATTATGTATTTCGTCATTGGCAGTGCAGTCAAACATTCATTAATATATCTTATTTCACATAAAAAGTTAAATATAGGAACAGGTTAGATTTCCGTGAAAAAAAATCAAATGTACTCTAACACATTAGATATAACAATGATTTGCCTAGATACAACAATGATAAGATATAATATTTTGTCTGTTCAGGTTTTGTCTATCAATAAGTAAAATAATATGAATGCAAAAATTAATACATGGATAAAGAATTGATATTTTAAATAGGAAACTGCTTTTAGTAAACATGGAAGTCCTGAGTTCTAAGGATCCAAAAGTCCTAAAGTGTAGCGAAATCACTGCTAAATATAACATTTTATTGTAAAGATATTAAACTAAAAACTTAACTAAATAAGAGAAAATTTAACTTTCAACTAAGTCCGTTTTGCGAAGGCTCTTTTGTCACAGAAAAGAACGCTTTTGAAAGAATAATATACTACTATTAAAACAGCTTTATGTCAGTAGTAGTTTTTATAAGAGGGTTAGGGTACATTTTGTCTAGTACCAACCAGTATTCTTTATTTGGGTAAGTAAGGTGCACTACTTTAAAAAAGAACTATCTCCAGTTCATTTTCAAATGAAAAGCATTTGTGATAATTTTTAATTTTCATGTAAGCAAAGTCATCCTTTCTACCAGCTGCTCATAATTATAAGAGAATTGTTCATTGATTTTAATGAATTTTATCTAGGTAAGTTAAAATCAGACAATTTTTTAAAACAGTTTTATCAGTTTTTAAATACGTAAGACAGTTGCAATCTTATTTTCCAGTCAATTCTTTTTATCAAAGAAGTATGTTGGGGGTTTAGAAATTTGTCGGGGTGATAGAAAACATCTAAGCAAGGAATTTTCACCATATAATGCATGGATAAAGCGCAAGCGGTGAACTACTAGACGACATTTTAATGGAAAGTTTAAAGAGCAATTTTTCTTTCGCGTCGTCATTTCTACTGTGGATTTTAGAAGACATAGGTACGGTAATTAGGAAAAGGTGCAGGCGAATGCAGTAATTAGGCAGATAAGAATATCATGTAGGGATGCATATATGTGTTTAACGTACACCTTTCATAAATGTTCTAGAAGTCGAAAGACTGTAGGGGACATGTTCCCTGCAAGAAGACTTGTGCCAGACCCCAAATGTTTGAGCGATTGCATCTGTGCCTGTGTGAAACAGGATCCTGATTACCAAACATTTCCTTTTTACCGCATGTCTCGATGACTACTGAAATGTATGGCGGAAATAAGAAAACTCGTACTTAATGTTTTCTATTACAGCACCATCTAAGCAAAGAATTGCTTGTTTAGATCAAGGTGTGTAGCCAGATTTTTTAACAAAAAATAAGCTCCTTTTAAGCACTGTAAAAATATTTTTAATCACTTTCCAAAAAAAAAAAATCATAATTAGGATCTGTGCTGTAATAAAAATTATTTTTCTATATCATCTAAAGTTCCTAATTTACAAACATAAAATAAATACAATTCAAAACAATTTTCAAAAACTTTACACAGCCATCATGATAAAATAACTAGTTTCTGATAAAAATTGCAGAGAAAATTGTGAAATTGTAAAAACGCTACGCACCCTGTAGCTGCTTCCTATCACCCCTTAACATTTTGTCCAGAGTTTCAAAAGACCCTGTACAATAAGTACAGTAGGGAACCGATTATTCGGAACGATCGGGACCATCGCTATTCCGGATAACTGATTTTTCCGGTTTTCTGAATCGCTACAAAAAGCCGTTTTTTTATTGTTAAACCCAATTAAAAAAAAAATTTTTTTTTGGAAATAATCTTAAAAAGAAAAAACATTAGAGTACTGTTTGTCTACGATAGGTACTCTGTCCGCCACAAAGTCTGCGGCAGTCTGGTGCTATGGAAACATGAAGAGAGCATTTTAGGGAGGGTGGCTTCGATGAAGAGGTCTCCTTTTCTTTCGCCTTCGATGATAGCTTGTATGGGGAGTATACCAGATTGGCTGACTCAGCCACCAGTAGGAGACTTATTTAATCTGATTCAAGAACTTTTTTAAGATTCGCATGAATATTTCTTTCTTACTTAAAATAATTCTCTCGATTCAATCAGTTGTTATTTTTTAAATACAAAGGAAAAAAAGTGAACAAATTCTGACATTAAGGGTAGTACAGGTTTTTTTAATATTACTTTTTAATTTTACGATATTTATTATGAATGTTCATTGATTGTTAGATGGTTTAATTTCTAAACTTGCACATTTTTTAAAGCAGTTAATTTCTTTTATTACTTGAATTTTCTGGAAAAAGTGAAGAGCTTAAACTTAATAACTCTGATTTTAAAAGGAGATAAAACTTTTGCTGAAAATAAAAATAGTTCACGTTATCTGTGCCGGAGAAATATTAAATATCTTTGTTTTGATTATTAATTTTTAAATATTTTATTTATTTATTTATTTTTTTTTTTTTTTGAAACTGAAAGCAAGTGACCGCAACTAGGATGAAATCTAAAACTATCAACGATGATTTTTATCAGCACCCATCAAACCATCTGAAATTATCTGAAGTTTTTTTTGCTTAAATTACGTTTTCTTATTCATATTTTATTGTAACCTGTACAGTTTTTTTTCACTATTTATTAAAAACAGTTTTTATTAGCAAATTTATTTTTTTCTTAATAACCAATTTACTATGTATGATAAATTTATAGATGAGTTATTTATTAATAAAACATTGAGCTGCTTTAAACAATTTTATACAATTTCCATACATACATATAAATTTTTTTTCTAAAACAGAAGCTTTTGAAAAAGAGAAAAGATTAAAAAAAAGGAATCACACGCTCTAAACGATGTTTCAGGCGCGAATGCTCATTTCTCTTAACTCTAGGGCTAATACAATAGATCGAACAAAGAAGTCTCCTTTTCTCCCACCGAAACCAGTCTTAAAGAGGGACCCCGCACCCCTACTTGAAATAATCATACCTTGTTACCATAGTCCCCGCCACCCCTCCAGACGAATGGCGGACAGAGTACCTATCGTAGACAAACAATACACTAATGATTATTTCCAAAATGATGGTAAGGTAAACATCTTTCAAAAAAGAAGGAAAACTCCTAAAATCTTATGAGGAAAAAATTTAAAAAAAAAAAAATGGCGGGAAAATGTATCGAATTTCGTTCCGGTTTTTTGGTTTCCGGATAACGGGTTCTGTACTGTATAAAATTGAAAGCTTGAGTTCAAAGGAATCAAGCTGCATGAAGAGACAAAAATAATTATATATACATCATCTGAATCCAAAGAAGATTCTCCACTTTTAGCATTGGACTTGTTGTCTTGTGATATAGAAATACTCCCATTTATAGACTTGGTGGGCATCACTGTTTGTGACTGGACTAGGAGGGTGGGAGGTGAGATCTGCAAAAAGAAATTTTTTTTGTATTATTTATGTACGGAAAAAAATAAACGTGCACATAATTTGATACTGAGATGTACGGTACAACCCAGATAGCAAAATAAGGTTTCATTTTAACTCAGTAAAAACCTTTCAATAGTAAATCTAAAAAGGTTTGTTATGCATTTTATGTGTAAACCTTCAATTCCTAAAAAGATATCCGTGACAATCTGCTCTATTCTACGCTCATTACCCTAATACAAAACCTTGGAAAACAACCTTCTGTATAAAAACCTTAATTCGAGGTTGACTTACGGTTTTCAAGTGTGAAATTTTTTATAAATAAAGCTAGTCTCAAAGTGAAAAAAAAATCTTAAATCTAGGTAATTATAAGGTTTCCTTTCGCAAAGTCATATATGCTCAGCTAAAATACATCTTGTCGTGAAATTTTAGTGGACAATGCAATTTGATCCTATCGCTAGTGTGACGTCAGCTAAAACGTCATTAGGGACTTAAGCGACAATACTTTTTAAAAAAAACTTTCAAAAATAATTTTTAATCCTTTTAGGATGAAAAGTTTGAATCTGCAATATTTTTTGCTTTATTGAAAAAAGGTTTCTAGTCCCAACATTTACCTGACAATAAAAAGAAAATTCTGACACCAAGTTGCCGCAAGGTTACGTGCTTTCTGGGATATTGTACCGTATATCTCGGTGTGTGGATGGCTGACCGTCTTAAGCTAAGCACAGATGGCAGTAGGGGTTTAAATTCGTCAAAAGACTTCCGGGTTACTACTTTTGAATGAGTTTTACGCCAAAATTTGAAAAAAATGCACCATCCGATATTATTTTATAATAAAATTTAATTTTAAACAAAAAAACTTTCTTTTCTATTTTATCATATAAATAAAGCAAAAAAAAAAAAAAATGACACGAATAAAATTTATGGAATTCAAAAACAAGATATATAATTAAACCTCATTGGATGATTATCTAAATTCTACCCTTAAATATAATATTCTAATTGTAATATTGAATATTCAATTGAATTGTAATATTCTAATCTAATTAAATGTGAATTTCTATAAAAATAAAAATTACAAATAAAAAAGCTGAAATATATTTTTTACCCAAAAAATAAAAATTAAACTACTATATGAAACTTGATTAACAAAAAACAGAAAGGTCTTATTTTTCCAGAATAGAATTCAACAAAAAAAATTCAAGTATTTGGGAGTGAAAATAAATTAGAAATAGTTTACACAGATGTCATCCTGGCTACACAATTTCAGTCTTAAGTTAATCTTAGTCTAAGTAACTCTTAATCCCCTTAATCTTAGTTTTATATGCTTTTAAAGCATCTACAAATAAAAAATATTTTTACTAAAAGCAAAAAAGGAAACATTTTGAAAAATCTGAGGGGGGTTATTTTTATCGACTGTGTCAACCTTCATCTATTAAAAGGTACCTTATGTTAAAATCAAGTTAACATATCTTATATACTTGTGAATTGGTATTTATTTATAGTAGTAGTTACGCCAAATTACCCCCCTTTTGGAATTTTATCTGTGATAGAATTCGATGAACGAATACCGTTAGTTGATTTATGCTGTTCTTTTCTTTTTATTTATAACAATTTGCTCATTATATTTTTTCTTCATCCTTGTTTATTTATATCATTTCACTAACTTTTTTTCTTCAATATTGTTTATGGACCTGGAGACTTTTTATTTACTTCAGCAAATCAACTGTTTAATGGGCCGGGATAGCCCGGTCGGTAGGGCGCTGGACCCATGTCCGAGAGCTCGTGGGTTCAAAACCGGCCGGCCAAAGACTCTCTGTGTAGTAAAATGGTGCATGTTAAATCTGTCGAGTCGCAAAGGTCTGCATGTTTCCATAACAAGTGAATATCTCTGGGGGTACTGAATTGGAGATTAATCGTTTTCTGATTCAGGTCAAAATTACAATCTGTGGATGTATAAATGGGTCCGCCCTATGAACGGGCGTTACGCATGGTGTGGCAGAAGTTGAGTCGAATTCTTGGCCATAGATGGCGTCACTGGAAAAACAAGAACAATAGCACCCCTCTGTCGTAACAGGCATATGCAACAACTGTTTAATGTGGACTATCCATCGACGTTTGAGAGTTCACGTCCGGAGGTCACCAATCACGGACATATCATGTCCGGAGGTCACCAATATTGGAATATAAGTATCGACTATGTCAACCTGCTTCTATCAAGAGGTATCTCAAGATCGAAGCAAGTTAACATGTCTTATATACTAGTGAGTTGGTATTTATTGACAGTGGTAGCTACGCCGCAAATATAATATTGCAAAGGAAGTATGCGAGGTGTAAAAAATATTCAAGCGAAACTAAATAATAACAAAAATGAAAATACTTCATCTTCATCAGTGTAGTCCTCTTCTTCTTCTGTGGAAACTGCGACTAAACACTGGGATTCATTTTTGTCATCTGGACCATACCCATTTATTTCAGTCTTTAAGGAAGAGTATCTGTATGTTGGGAGACTGTTGGAATTATTCAAAAAGAATGAGTTAGAATAAAAAATCACAAAGTTATAAGTAAACTTTACAACAAGGAAATCATCATAAATTGTTAAGGAGTCTCAGTACCCTTGCAACATTTTTTTAAAATAAAAGTATAATCATTCGTTTTGTGAATGCTTTGCATGCTCATTTAACTTATAATCAATAATTTATCTTAAAAAAATAGTTAAACTGTTTAATATTTTTTTAAATTTTAAAAAATATTGAAAAAATTCAAAATTTTTAAATACTTAAAGCTTTTTTATTTTAACATATTTTCAAATTTTTTTCCCCATAGTGCTTGCAATATCCATCTTAACACTTTTGTGCATTCATTTGTTGATCTATCAATTAGAACATTTTTAATACATTATTTTGTAAAAAAATAGAAAAAAATGTTAAAAATTCCTGTTAAGTACTATATATAACATGCTGTTAAAATTTTAATACCTCATAAAATGCTTATTGCATGCACAGTTTAAATAAGTGTATCATACTTAAGATAAAGTTTACTTCAAAGTTTTATTTTAAATAGAAAAAATTCCAAATAGAAAAGATTAAAACACAAAATCATCATCTATGAGAAAAAGCACTTTAAAGTCTATCTGCTGATCAAGTTTCTGTTTTAAGGGCAATCTAAAATCATTCATAACTTTTTTAAAAATGTAGATAAAGAGATATTTTTTTTCAGTGCATTCAAAATAGTCTGAAGTTAGAATAGTGTTAAGCAATAAAAAATATCGATATTTTTGTCATTTTTTGGGTACTGTGACCCCTTAAATTTTATAATGTTCTGTCAATTGACGAATTCAAAAACGTTGATCTGCTGGCGTTACTACTCCAAATTTTTGTTTTACTTTAGAGGATTTTGTTTATACCTCTTTTGGTAGTTGTGTGGTGATTTTTTAGGGAGTCAGAGTGGCCCTAATATCAGAGATGAGATTGGCCAAAGGGCAAAAAAGTTGAATTTCCACGTGACGAAATCTTATGTTTAATGATAAATTCCAGATAATTTAAGATAATAAATTACTGTGGGTTGATTTATATTAATTGTGTACTAATCTATTAATATATGAATAATTACATCGACAATTAACATTTAGTAAAAAGTAAAATTACAAATTGAAAAAATAAAGCTAGAAATAATGTTTTTCTTCAGTCACAAAAGAGTCAATTATTACTTGAGAATGTGCCTAGTTTAGCACATTAAACTACTGAGAACATACATTAACATTCCATTTTTTAAAAATAAATACTATTACGTGCTTTATAGCAAAAATATCCGCGAGAATACGAATCCAAAGCCAAATTTTTAAATGACGTGCAAATACGAAAATCAATGTTTGATATTACAACCGCATAAACGAATCACGACATTGGATTTTGAACTCGAGGGAATACGAATCGCTACATAGGATTTTAAAAACGCGTAAATACAAATCACGATGTTGGATTTTTAAACCTCGTAAATAAGAATTGTAATGTACGATACTGAAATCACATGAATAAGAATCGCAATACGCAACTTTTAAATCAGGTAAATACGAAAACCGATGTTTGATATTAAAATGCAACGACGTCTGAATTACAAAATTACGAGCTATCTGGAGGGTGGGTAAAAATGTGGAAAATCTCATTTTCTACATGTAAAAGCAGAGAAAATAGCTAAAAATGCAGAAGGGTTGGCAGCTACGTAGTTTGAGTTTTCTGTTTATCTTCGAAAATCGGAAATAAATGTAATCATTTTATTTCAACAATTGAATTTTTAGAAAAAATGGAATATTATATATATAAAAAAAACTTTTAGAGAATCGGAGTTTTTGATAAAAAGGCTGAAATTCGTGAGACAAAAGCGAAAAAGGCGGAAATCCGCTAAAAAGCGGAAAAATCTCATCCTGGTAAAATAAAGTAGGTTTATCTAATAAAATGCAATAGAAATTATCATTGTAATTACTCCCACACACCATAGTTTATTTTCTCCAATAAATAATACTAAGGCACACAAACAATATTATATTGCCATAAAATGTATTTTACTTTATGCTTTAGTACAAAAAGAAACTTTTCCTATGTATATATAGTACACTTTACGCTATCTGCATGTAGATTATCTGGTTTATTATTATTGCAGCTAATGTTTATACAACTAAAATATACAGGGTATCCGCGCACCTGGAATGTCATGAGAAATCATAGAAAGTCATGAATTTCGGTATTGAACAAAATTTGTCATGAAATGTCATGATTTTAACTATTTTTTTAAAAAAAAATCATGGAAAGTCATGGATCTAGGTCGCCGAAGTATCTAATTTTTAAAATGGATATTACCCCCACGGTGTTTCGAATATCTGAATTTGTAACAAAATCACCACTCATAGTCATATTTTATTAAAATATAAAATGTTTTTATCGTGTTCTTTCAAAAAATGAAAGAAAAAACATCATATCTAGAGCGAATTATCTTTTATACTTCTGTGATTTCAGAAATTTTGTTTTTATTTATTTTTTTATTTATTTTATAAATTTAAAATTCTAGCTAAAGCAAGCCAGTCAATGGCGAATTTTTTTATTCCGAAATGAGAACAGAAAAATCAGGAATATCTTTCCTTTCAGATGAACAAGAAAAGTCTCTTTAGAATATAATTTTGCAGGAGAAAGAGAAAAAAAATTATTTTATTTTTATTTTTTTCAGCTATTTTATTGCTTCAACTTTTTCTTTACTCTGTTTTTTAAATTTAAAATCTGTAAATATGAAGATGCAGAGTATAACAGTTTTGGTTATACCTATCATTTCAATTAATGTTATTACAATGCTTTTTTAAATTTATGGTTGTTTTTATCAAAGAAAATAGTAACTTCATTAAGTCATGAAAATTTCTTGGAATTAGTCAT